AGAGTTCTGTGACTAAAGAAAAATGGGGGAGTAGGAACGAACACTGGTATTGTCCAAATCCTCATTTTACAAATGGGGAAATAGAGGGCGCAAGGGGAAAACTTTTTTCTGTACCCCAGGAAATGACAAACAGGAAAATATTAATGTAGAGGAAGAGAGGACAAGCTTCCTAAGAAAAAAAGGTCTGTAGAGATAGCGTCACAAGACGAATGACCTCAGAAGTCTATTTGAGAGATCGTGTCATGCTAGCAAAGTTCTAGGGACTGGAGCCTTTTCCTCCACGAGAGAATAAGAATGAAACACCAGTCCCTCAGTCTGACTCTCAGAGAGAACCTCAGGCTGATGAGCAATAAGTCCAACAATTTCGTTCCCTTGGCCATGCTGAGCCCCACAGGAAATCTCAGACTTTCACATCAGGACAAGGCCCCACAAGAATGTCGCTGCACCCAGAGCTCCGTGGTTTGATGCCACTAGAGAATTTCCTAGGGAAAGGCTCTGAGGGAGATTGCTCAGCAAGACAGAAAAATGCTGCAGTGAGGCCAGCAAATGCCTTCCTGGGACGCCTGGTGGAGGTTTGGATTTAAAATGTCCCCTGGAGCTTAAACAGCATAGCCCCCTTGTAGCTCACAGCAGCCCTGTTACTGAGTAGTTTCTCAAGGATTTGCCACTTCAGGATGTGGGGAATTGGGATTGTTTGCTTTACAGTTTTACAAGTTGGCCTAATGAGGCGTAAGGGTCTGTACTGTTTGTGGGATAAGGCTTTGATGCCCATTGGGATCTATGAATTTTAGATCTATCTATCTATCTATCTATCTATCTATCTATCTATCTATCTATCTATCTATCTATCTATAGGGGCAGAGGTTAGAGGGCAATGCCAAACACTACAAACAACCTTGAAGGAGAATGGTCAGTCTCTGCCTTTGCTTTCTTTGTAGGGTGTTCCTCAGCCATTTAAGCCGGCAGGAAGAATTAATTAAAAAGGAGCAGTGTGTGTGTACAAGTAAATCAGTAAGGCATCATTTCCCATAAAAAACACTTTTTAAAAATGTATTTTTATTGATTTCAGAGAGGAAGGGAGAGATAGAAACATTAATGATGAGAGAGAATCATTAATTGGCTGCCTCCTGTATACTTCCCACTGGGGATCGAGCCTGAAACCCTGGACATGTGCCCCAAACCTTCCTGGTTCATAAGTCAATGCTCAAACAGTAAGCCACACCAGCCAGGCAATAAACACATTTTTATTCAGCTGGTATTGAGTTCTTATTATGTACCATTCATTCTTCTAGACATGGACTATATCAGCAAACAGAACAAAGTCCTGCCCTCATGACCTTTTCTTATAAGGGAGGACAGACAGACAAATTCTGCTTCTGGTGGTGATAGGTGCTATGGAGGAAAATCAGGGTGAGAATAGGGACATAATCAAAAGGCATTTCCCATAAGGTGACCTTGAGAAAGGCCGGAAGGAAGTGAGGGAGCATGTAATGTGGCTACCTGGGGAAGAGTTCCTACACAGAGAGAGACAAAGGGCAAAGGCCAGGCAGGAGCATAGCAGGTGGACTGGAGGAGCTGAATGAGAGGAAGTTGTGGGCGGGGTGGTCAGAGAGTCAGCTGAGAACAGAACTACGTGGCTTTTTGAAAAGGCCTTGCCTTTTACTTAGGAGTAAAAACCCATTGGAGGCCTTTAAGTGTTAAAAGATGAGTCTGACCAATGTGGAGAAGAAACTCAAGGGGGTCACGGGCAGAAGAAAGGAAAACCACTTATGGGGCTATTCATTCATTATGGCCAGATTCTGGATACAGGGTTTGTTGATTGATTCCATGTCAGATGTGACAGAAGAGTCAAGGATGACATCAAAGTTTCTATCTTGAGCAATTATAAGAATGGGGCTGTCATTTACAGAAATGGGGAAGGCTGGGGTCCACAGAATTTCTGGCTTGACTAAGTAGTTTTAGGAAGAAGTTGTGGAGATCCAAGGAGGAAAAGTTTGACTTAATCATTGGTTCCTTCATTTTCTCCATTCTCTCTGAAAGTCTGATTTGTATTTGGGTCAATTCTACCAGTTTTCGGAGGGGGAGAAATATGGTTCCATGGTATTAACTTTTAAGGATCCTTACCCATGCCTGTACAGATCAGTGTGGTCAGAGGCTCTTGGTGGGTAGATTCTGTCCCTGGTGCATCCCTCATTTCAGCTGCCATGTTGGTTTCCTAGGGCTACATAACCAATTACCACAAAGTGGGTGGTTTACACAACAGAAATGTATTATCTCATAATTCTGGAGGCTAGAAGTCCAAAATCAAAGTGTTGCAGGGCCCTGCTCCTTTGGAAAGGCCTAGGGAATAATTCTCCCTTCCCTCTTCTGAGCTTCCGGTGGTTGCTGACCATCCTTGGCTTATAGACACAATCCTCCACTCTCTACCTCCATTGATGCATGGCGTTCTCCCTTTGTATCCCTTTGTCTTTGTGTGGCCTTCTTATAAGGACACTAAGCATTGGATTTAGGGCCCAGCCTAATCCAGTATGACCTCATCTTAACTCGGTTACATTTCCAAAGACCCTGTTTCCAAATTAAATCCCAGTCACTGGTTCCAGGGGTTAGAACGTCAGCACATCTTTTTATGAGACACAATTCAACCCACACAGATGCTTTGATCTGGGTTTGATTACGAGAGTCTTTTGGGCTTAGATGTGTTTGAGGATGAGATGGGACCTATTGAAATCAAGTTAGAAAACGGGTCCCTCTGGGCTAGGGATGCCCCATCTGTTGGGATGAAAAACTTTTTTCTTGTCCAGCAAATTTAGGTAAACTGAAGATTTAAAAATAGACAAGTTCATTTTGCATTATTTTTTGAAACTTGAAGACTTTAGGATATGCAGTGGTAAAATCATGAAGAAGTCATGTAACTGGAAGACAGAAGAAATAGAAATTATAAAATGAAGAATTTTAAAGATAAGAATCACTTTGATTTTGACCTGAATTGAGGCCTGGACTATAGGTAGAAAAGCTCTTATTGATGTTCCAAGTTTATGGTTTTGCTGGTTGGGGCAGCAAGCTGGCAGAAATGGAGTGCCGCACACCTGTGTCCCTGCGCCCCTGCGCCCTGACCCCTGGCTGACTGCTGCAGAGTACAGCTTGTTTGCTCCACTAGCCTTTCCCTTAGATTCCCACGGGGCTGGATGCTACATGGCACTATCTGGCTGCTGCTCCCTTCTGTGCAACACCCAGTACATATACATTCTTCAGTGGTGTGTCAGGCCTTTATTAGCATTTCCTTCTTTTTAACTCACCGCAGTAGAGTCTAAAGGTTGTTTATCAAAGAAAGTTGAAGTTTCCACTCTGATATCACAATGATAGGACTATGTCAGGTCTAGCAATGTAATTAAAATTCTTTAGCAAGATCATACACTTGTGACCAACAAATTATGGTTCTATGAGTTTTTATGGTGCTCCTGTTGTTCGTAAGGAATTGTGTGGGAGTTGGACAGATGGGAGATAGGTAAAGAGATATTGCTTTTTCTCATCTTCAGGAAATTTGAAGAAAGAAGACAAACAGGAATTAGAGGTTCACACAAAAATTGATAAAGATTGGTGGATGCCACAATATTTGGCACCTGCAGGGAAAAAAATCTCTAAATGTATTGTTTAATAAGTATCTGGGTGGAGAGTGGGAGAAGCTAGAGGCAGGGATATATAGTGAGGTTTAGTGGCACAGGCCTCAAGTGGTAGTGGGATTAGATTTTCCTGCAAGGCCTATTGGACCAGGCTGCTCACCTGTCCTTTGCCCTAGCCTTTCCCTGGCTCTTCTGGGCACTCTAGTGGTCAGTGTGAAGCCACAGCTGCTCGTGTGAAGGGGTAGGTTTGAGAGAAGGGCACTGGCCGCATCTGCACCGCCTGGGCCAGTGCTCTGCATTACTGGCTTAGTCACACACATCCTTGAGGGGATTATTTTGAGTTTTCCTCAAAAAGGGAGCCTTTATTTCATGTCTGTTAAATGGGAATGCAGCCACAACTATCTCTTCAGGGCAGGGACCAGTGGTGAAGCCACCATACTTCTGGGGTGACCACAGGGCAAATAATGTACAGACATCATTTCCTTTGACTAATCTTTTGTAATCCTGGTCCAGATGTGGCTCCTGAAAGTAAAGTTCTTTGTCTAAGTTGAGATTTTTAATTTAGGACCCAGATGGGGAAGGAGGTAAACTTCCGGAGGGTCTGTTTTCCTCCGTGTGTCACGGTCCTGGGTTCCTGGCAGGCAGCAGTTTCATTAGAAAAGCAGATTTCATCCTGACTCATCTGCCTCGGTGAGATGTGTGATACAACTTTTTAGGACTCATGAAGCCTGTCGTCTCGCTGGACAGAGCAGAGGGTACACAGTCCATTCGGCAGTCGTGGTGGTTACTGGACCTGGCTGGGCCCATGGAAAACCTTGAGAGACAGTCTGCTATGGGGCTGGAGCTTTGTCCTGGAATTTCCTGGCCTTTGTCTGGTGTAACTTCATGTACCCTGACGCCTGTTTTTAGAGTCTACTTCCTTCTAGGGCCGTAGTCGGCAAACTGCGGCTCGCGAGCCACATGTGGCTCTTTGGCCCCTTGAGTGTAGCTCTTCCACAAAATACCACATTTGGGCATGCACGTACAGTGCTATTGAAACTTCGTGGCCCATGCGCAGAAGTCAGTATTTTGTGGAAGAGCCGGTATTTTGTGAAAGAGCCACACTCAAGGGGCCAAAGAGCCGCATGTGGCTCGTGAGCCGCGGTTTGCCGACCACTGTTCTAGGGGGAAGAGTGCTACTGCCTTCTACTCTGCTTTCTGTACCAAGCGACCTCCTCCCCTCATGGGTCAGGGATCAGGTGTGTGTACCTGGCTCCCAATCAACAACATGCTCCTGGAAGTCACTGGTCACAGAGGAGAAGCCATGACCATTGGGCATAAAAGTCGTATCTGCCAACCCGGCCCATTCACCCTAACCTTGTTTCTTACCTCACATTGCAGCAGAAAAAATCCTACCTGGAGCGCAGCGTGAAGGAAGCTGAGGACAACATCCGGGAGATGCTGATGGCACGAAGGGCACAGTAGGAAGCCTCTAGGGAAGCTCTCCCTCCTGACCCCTCCCATTCCTGGCAAGGACAAGGGGCTTGTGTAGGGAGATAGCGTCTGCTATACCCTGGTGGACGTTTTATCTGGATGGCCTGGTAACCCTGTGTTTTCTACATCACCCTGAGCCCCTTTCAAATCCCAAGCCCTTATTTTTTATCCTGGCTTTGCCTAAGACATTCTTCTCCCCTGGGGGTGAGTCCTGAACTCCCAGGAGAGGGGAGAGGGGAGCCAGGACAGGTAGGGGAGCTCTGCCCTTGCCCCCTACTAGTCATGCTGGTCAGACCAATAAAAGGCATCTGTGCCACTCTGCTAAGTTTGCTTTTCTTGAGCCGCTGGATGAGAACAGAGAGGCAGAGGCTGTCTCTACCTGAGCTCCTCCCTGGCCCTCTCTAGGGCTGGGGCCCTGCTCCTTCTGCATCGAAGTCTTCCCCACTTCTTTTTTCCTCTCTGATCCTTCAAGTAAACCCTTCAAGCTCACAGCCTCCATGGAATGTGCAAGTAGGAAAGAAAGGAGACCAGGGCATAGCTGAATTTTAAGTGAGGACAGCAGTCCTTGGTGGCAGGATGCCTACAGATTCCTTTCCTGCTTTTTCCCAAACATCCCATATAAGCCAGCAGCACCTCCAAGACTGTCTCCCTTTGGTCATAAGGTGGACACTGTAATTCTGAGGCCTCCTAGAGGCTCAGGGGCAGTGGTGTGTTGGAGCTGGCTTATACTGGCTCAGGAGCGCCAGTGACTCAATTGTCGAATTTTGTTGCAAGCCAGTTGTTAAACACAGCCATTATTAAAAATTAAGTTATGTAACTTTACAATTAAATTATTAAAGAACAAGGGTAATAAATATTCAAAACATCTCTCTAGTAACTAAATCTGCCTGTGATCTATGTTTTGAGGTTAACAGTCTTCTTTCTGGATGGTGGAACCACTACATAAACAGTGCGCTTTTGTGCTGCTCTTCCCAACTCTGTCTCAGGACATCACGGGAACTTGCAGTCAGCTATGGGGGGACCATTTACTCCACAGAAATCAGGTGATGCTACAAAATCATGGCGTTGTGTTTATTTTTAAAGAGAGAGAACTGGTAGTTAAATATTTATAAGCATAGCACCGCTTGCAGCGGTTCTCAACCTGTGGGTCGCGACCCCTGAAAATACATCCTGCATATCAGATATTTACATTACGATTCATAACAGTAGCAAAATTAGTTATGAAGTAGCAACGAAAATAATTTTATGGTTGGGGGTCACCACAACATGAGGAACTGTATTAAAGGGTCGTGGGCATTAGGAAGGTTGAGCACCACTGGCTTAGAGGGAAGGTGGGCAGGCAGAGGAAGGCAGGGAGTTGTCAACTGCAGCCTCTTGGAACTGGCAGGGCAGGCCCTTAAGGGAAGCTCTGACTCGCTGTTCTGGCAGCTCAGCGCCCCCCTGTGGCCAAAGCTAAGATGGTGGCATGGCTTACTGATTTGAATTATGCCAGCTTTTTGTGTGTGTGCATGTCAGCAGGAAAAGAAAGCTTTGGGTCTGGCCAAACTCTGGACTCCTGTTCTCCTTCCTGCCAGAGACAGCCCATAGTTACCAAGAGGCCCTTTCCTAGGCTCTGGGTAAAAGTGGGTCTGGCTCATTGGTGAGCCCGTCTGTGAATGGGACTAGGGAGAAAAAGCTAGGTTGGTGAGGGCCCCATGATCTGACTGAAGGCCCCAGCCTCAGACCTAGTTTCCTAATAACACCCACCCTGCTCATATAGCAGTCAGAATGAAAAGGTAAATATGCCCCTCATCATATAATGGACAGCGGCCACTAGCTGAGATACCCACAGCTTAAATTTTACCTGGAATAATTCAGACAGTTGAAGTTTAGACAAATTTATTGAAACATATAGGGTGTTAGCAAAGAAATCATTCAGTGATATGTTACATTATGCCACTACCTTGAATTGTATGCCACTACCTTGAATTGTATACTTTAAAAATTATAAATATATATTTCATAACTAAGCCTTTGGCCAAAAAAAATAAAAGGGAAGTCATTTAGCACATTTGTGAAAGGCCAATAGGAAATGAATTTTGAACATTAGAAAGATAAAGTCACTGGATTAAACATCAGTAATCTAGAATCCCACTGTGTTGAAGGTAGAAGTGTCTGTGCAGAGCTAGTCAATCAGAAGAGATGGGGCAGGCACACCTGTTGGAGGTGGCAGAAGAGCTGGCAGGACAGCAGGGACAGGCTGGTCAGGTGAGCATGTCCCAGAGACAGCAACAACAGAGAGCAGTCCAGCAGGCTGTGAGGCAGGAGGATGTGCCCAGGTCATCCCTTCTTTGGTCTTCTACCACATACACTGGAGTGGAGAGAGGGGAGAGGGTGAGAATGAATAGCACAAACTTTGGGCCCTAGAGAGCCCATGCCTCCCAGACCAGGTGCCTTTCTGCTTATGCCGTGGGGATAATGGAGGGAGGAAGGGGCTGAGCTCCTCAGCTACTTCCCCTCCTCCTCCGGACACTGATTCCTGCAGGGACAAGCACTAGGGAACCTATACTGCTGCCTGGCACCAAGGCAGCCAGAATTTAGATAAGAAATGTCCATTGCCATCTGGCCGGTGTTGGCTGACCCAACTTGGTTTATAAACCAAGCAACACTATTAGTATGTCCTGTACCCTATAGATGTCTGGGGGAATGTTTCTTTAGATACAACTAAGCCCTTTCCCAAAAGAGAGAATAACCAAAATCTCCTAGAAAGGTGCTTTAGTCCCTAAAAGAATAACCAAGAATCTTAGTTTTTCATACCTGGGCAATGAACAGTATCAGAATGTGCCCCGACCTCTAAACTTTCACACAACACCATGGAAGGCAGGGATGAAAACCTGGTCTAGTGGGAGCAACGCCCGGAGCCTAACATGCTTCCTTTTTCTCAGAATGGAGTTGGAAATCTAAGCCCTGCCAGGACTAAGTGCTCTGTTAAGAGATTTGAGTGCAAAACAAATCCATAGGTCAAGAAGGACCCCAACTGATTTGCGGCCTCCCTTCCCGTAAGGACATCCTTAAAATGCTGGTCTTCCTTGGCCTCAGAGAATCTGGGCCACTTTTAATAAAATCTCAAAACCACCACCATCAGACTTAGTTACAGGCAGTTAGGATTTTAAACTTTCTGAAAGTTCATGAATCTTGTAAGTTAAACCAGTCCTTTGGCAATCTTCTTTCAGTTCTATTTTTTGTGTATCTCTTTTTATATCTCCTCTCCGGGTAACTTCCTCTCTCTGGAGCCTAGTATAGTAGCTAGAATATGCCGGGTTAGTAGTGAGCTTTCCAAGTTCTCCCATTGTATCAGTGGCCCTCCACCGAGATATCCCCTTCCCTTCTCTTAATCTCAGTGTGCTTTCATTTGGCCCCACTCAGCATCACAGGTGAAGTTGTTCGGGGTTTGGGACACAAGGCTCATCACCAGGAAAGCTTAGTTGAAGAGAAGATAACCCATTTGTTCTGAGGCCCGATAAAGGTGTGTCACCTGACTTAGTCCTAAGAATAACCTTGAGATAGATTTTCCATCATTCCTATTTCACATGTAAGGAACTCTAGGTTTACAGAGCTTAAGTTTCTTGTTCAAACACACATGACCAGGCAGGGACAGGATCTGAACTCAGGCCTTTGACAAGCTAGGCCTGCCCAGGTCCAACTAGGATAGAAAAGGGAGTAGGAGTGAATGGGCTCTAGGGCAGTCCTCTCTCACACCAGTCAGAGCCCATCCTACCCACTGAAGGCCCGGGCACTCCAGACTCAAGTCACTGCAGCAAGGTGTCACCTGCCATCTGCCTAGATGACAGGGAAACTGAGGACACAATTGGCTGTGGAACCCCTTGAATAATCCCTTCCTGTAGTTGCACTGGCTCTGCTGCCCCGGGATAGAAAGGCCCCCTCCCCTGCCAGCTCTAGAAGTAGCCTGCTTGATCCAGGCCTGAGACCCAGCCCAAGGTTGGGTTGCCATGTGAAAGGCCCTGCTGTTTCTCTTAAGCTGCCACTTACTGAGCTGTTCACAGATGTGCCAGGACCAGTGCTGAGGCCTTGCATACACACTGCCACTCAGTCTTCCCAACCCTGTCCTCACCGCTTCTATCCTGTCAGAACCACTGAACCGCAGGAAGCTTAGTCAGGAACACAAAAATGTCCCCGTCTCACTTCCTCTGTCGCTTTCTCCTTTAGTTCAGTTTGTCCTTGCCAGGGTGTATTTCACATGACATACTCTGAAACCTGGGGCGGGAAGTACTCTGAGCTCATTACTCCCAGACACTGTCCACAGAGGTTAGAAATAACCAGTCTGGCTGTAACACAGAGGACTTAGACCAGACGGCTGCGTCGGCCTCCACAGGGGTGGTTAGTGCTGTACATACCTTAGAAACCCGAATCACTTATTTTCTGGAGCACCAAGTCTTCCAAAGCCCTTGTGACTTTTTCCTTTCCATTAGCTGAGGACAGAATCTCTGCCCCCAAACTGTCAAAAAGATAGGGTGGTGGAAGAGTACATGGCGGCCAGGGCAGGTGTGGAGGTAAAAGTGACTTGCTCTGAGGAAGACCTCACAGTTCCTCATAGTGTACCCACTGTGGGCCCAGAAATGGCATATTTTACATCTGTATCTTCCTAGATGCCTTACCTACCTGGAGGGTCCGAGGGTGCCTGCTGCACTGAGTTGCATGGCCTAGTCTGCCCCGGGACACCACTGCTCCTCACCTTCCACTTGTCCCCATCCCTGCCACCCAATGGATGACTGAGAGCTCCACTACCACCCTGGTTGACCTGCCAGTGTGCAGCCCCTGCTGCCTGAGTCCTGGACCATGACACCCACCCTGGGTACTCGAGGCCAGGGGATGCATGTGCACTGAAGTCACTAGCGGCATTGGTTACAGCAGGGGCTGAGGTGCAGGTGATGCCAGTGTACGTATTCCCTACCCAGGCCACATGGCCTTCCTGGCCACTGGTCTCTTCTGGCATGCAGGACAAAAAAGGGGCAGAACTATGGCTATGTAAGATGTTAAACATTAGAGGAAGCTGGGTGAACAGTATACAGAAACTGCCATTTCTGTAACTCTTATGTAAGCGTAAAGTTATTTGAAAATAAAAGGTTTAAAAAAAGGAGGGGGCGGGGAGGGAGGGTCAAAAAGCAGCAGGGGTTGGGAGCAGGCAGTTCAGCAGTCAGTGCCCAGGTACAGGGAGAGGTTCTGTTGCCAGCAGGGGCTGCTCAGATTGAACTCCTTGGAGATCAAGTGCCCCCCTGTGGGCAGCTTGGGGACAAAGACGGGTAGGGCCAATCTGTTTACATACACATCAGCCAAAAGGCTAATCTTCCTATTCGCTGTCCAGTGGTTTGGTAGCCAAGACCACCCTGCCCAGCCAGTGCCAGAAGCCTGTGCTCCAGACCCAGGCAAGAAGGCATTGAAGGGATTCTATTCCTAGAAAACTGCAGTTGAATTGGAGATCAGGTTCAGCCCAACCAGCTTGTCTCTCTTGCCCCCAAACAGCCCTTCGGCACCAACCCTCAATGTTTTCAGCTCCAGCCCAGGGGGGATGGATATGAGCATATAGTTTTGACCCAGAGGCCCAGACTAGGTCAGAAAGGCACAGACTAGTCTTGGGTGCAGAGCAGCTTCTGTCAAAGGCTCTCACCCTCTTGCCTCTGTGCTGGAAGCAGAGTAAATAGAAAAAGATGCTTGAAGGTCTATAGCCCCTGTGCCAAACTGCCTGCCCACCAAGCCCTGGGGTCTTCTACAGGGCCACCAGCCTACTACAACCTAGCCAGACACGAACCCGCAGCCCAAGTTCTAGGACTACCGTAGTGTGCAACCGCAAAGGTGCCGTTCACAAAACCTGGTTCTGGG